AGAGAGAGAGAGAGAGAGAAACTGCCATAAAATGAGGTTGGAGAGATGGCGGGGCCCACAGTGTGGAGTTGGGTTTTATGGAGCCTGGAACTTTTATAACTTGAGGGACCCTCTTTACAAAACTGAATACGAAATGGCCAAAGAAACATATTTCTAGGATCTGAAGGTGGGGAGTCTGAACATTTCAAATTCAGAACCTTCTGAAACATCTGCCCTGGCAGGGCTGCACTGTGAGGGGCCTTGTTAAAGAGAAGGAGGCAGACAATGGGCAGTCACTGAAGGATTTTAAGCAAGAAAGTGACATCATCAGATTTGCCTTTTAGGAAAAGCACCCCAAGGGCTGTCTGGAAGATGGATCAGAGGAGCTTGTGTTAGACAGCTAAAAAACCAATTAGGAAGCTATTTTAATAATCCAGAGAGCCAAGTGTCTGAATATGGCAGAATTCATGAAGAAGGAATTGACCTAGCCTCACTCAGCACAATTATTGAGAAATAGTCACCCCAGGAGCCCAGGTCCTTCTGTTCCTGAGCCCATTCTGAAAAAAATAGCAGATGTTTAGGCAGTAAACTTTCTAATATTACTAACAGGAATTTCTTTTCAGATATATCTCCTCAGGCAAGGGAAACAAAAGAAAAAATAAACAAATGGTACTACATCAAACTAAAAAGTTTTTGTACAGCAAAGGAAACAACAACAACAACAAAAAGACAACCAATTGTTTGGGAGAAGATATTTGCTAATGATACATCTGATAAGAGGTTAATATCCAAAAATATATAAAGAACTCATACAACTCAACAACAAAAGAACAAACAATCCAATTAAATAATGGGCAGAAGACCTGAACAGATACTTCTCCAAAGAGGAAATACAGATGGCCAATAGAGAAAAGATAAGATGCTCAAGGTCACTAATCAGAGAAAGGCAAATTAAAAGCCACATTGAGACATCATGTGACACCTGTCAGAATGGCTATTGTCAATAAACCACAAGTAGATCTACCTTTTGATCCAGCAATTGCACTTCTGGGAGTTTATCGAAAGAAAACCAAAGCAAAAATTTTTAAAGATCTATGCACCCCAATGTTCACGGCAGCACAATTTACAATAGCCAAGCTATGGAAGCAACCTAAATGCCCATCAACGAACGACTAGATAAAGAAGTTATGGTTCATATATACAATGAAATATTACCCAGCCATTAAAAAAATGAAATCCTATCATTTACAAAGACATGGATGGACCAAGAGGTTATTATGCTGGGGGCTATTGCAGTTAATGGGCTACAACCCGCCCGGCGGGCCATGGTGCTGGCCAGTGCTTTCCACAAGCTACAACTTACCTCCTCCTCTGGCACTCGGTTTCCTGTGGCCATCAAATCGGTCATTTGGATTATCCCAGGCATCAGACAAGTCAAAATCACTCCCTTCAAAAAAAGAGAATATCAACTGGTTACACTACAGGTAGCTCGCTTGGCCACTGCCTGCCCCAGAGGGAGCTCACGGGCCTTTCCTCACTGCCCTCCTCAGAGCAGCGTGTTACCTGCAGGCTTTGCCGGAGCTCTGGTCGTTCCCGGCCTCTTGGTTGTGGTGGTGGTGTAGTCCCATTTCTCTAAAAGGGGCAGAGAAGAAGCAAAGGAAGCATGTTTAGTAATGAAATACAGCAGCCACTTTGTGGCTCCGGGAAGTCGCATCTTGAGGACAGTACCCTTGTCTTAGACCCCGAGGAACCCCAAGGCCTCTGAAGAATCATTTAGAGAAGGATGACAAAGAGATGTAGAAGGTTTAAATGTGATGAGTTCTGCTTATGTCTCTTCAGTGGATGGGTGATGAGGCAGATGTGGCCCTACATGTGTGTGTGGGGGGTGATTACTGGAGCTGAGGCTTCCGCCCATATCTGCTGGAGATGACCACGCAGTCCAGTGAGTTCCAGAGCTTGAGCGTGACCCTTGAGAGCTCAAGTTTTGGATTCCACCACTATCAACCTGGCAGCATACTCACAGACACGACTGCCCAGGGATGGATGCAGGCTATGTTCCCGGTAGGATATGAGAATGTCTTATAAACACCAAGAAAGTATTTTATATCAGTGTGGTAACTACCGTAAATATTAGGTATTTCGGCTCAACCAGATTCCTCTAAAAATGTGAACCTCTTTCCCATCAATTACATGGCATGCCATGTACAAGTTTCCCAAGAGTTTCTTTTTTCTCTTAAACACGAAGACGATGCTTAACTGTTACTACTATTGGAAGTAGTAGAGGGAAAGAAAATTTAAGTAATGAGAAAAGCAGAGATGAAATGGGTTTAGTTTAATATACAGAAATCACTTAATAATCACTGACTATTCAGGAAAAAAAAAAGTAAAAATAGAAATTGAAAGTAAATGGATACATACACCTATAGTATTCAAATAACAATTGTAAGAGAGCTGGAGTAGCTATACTGCTGACAGGTAAAATAGACTTTAAGAGAAAAATTGTTCCGAGAGTCAAAGAGTGACATTTTACAATGACAAAAGTATAAGTCCAGCAGGAAAATATAAATTTTAAACATATATCTACCTAACAACAAAGTCCCAAAATACATGAAACAAAAAATGACAAAATTTAAGGGAAAAATATACAATTTGATAGGAATGCTGGTGATTTCAATACCATTCTTTCAATCACAGAAAACCAAAAAGGAAATATAAGACTTGAACAACACTATAAACTGACTAGAGCTACCAGACACCTATAGAACACACATCTTGAATAGAAAACACATTCTATTCAAGTATACATGGAACATTCTCCAGGATAGACCATATGCTAGGCTACAAAACAAATCTCAATATATTTAAAAAGACTGAACTCATACAAATTCCATTCTCTGAGCATAGTGGAATGAAAACAGAAGTCATTAACAGAAAGGCATTTTGAAAATTCACAATTATGTAAAAATTCAAAAACGCATTCCTAAAAACCAATATATCAAAGAAGAAATCACAAGAAAAATTAAAAAACACTTTGAGATGAATGAAAATGAAAGCATAACATACCAAAATTCAAGTGTTGCTGTGAAAGCAGTGCTCTGGGGGATATTTCAAGCTGTAAACTTCTACATTAAAAAAAAAAAAAAAAGATCTCAAATCAAAAGCCTAACTTTCATATTAAGAAACCAGGAAAAGGAAGAAACTAAACCTAAACCAAGCAAAATAAATTAAGAGTATAGCAGAAATGAAACAGAATATGAAAATAAAAGTCAACAAAACCAAAAAGTTGATTCTTTCAACAAAATTGGCAACCTATCAGCAGACTGACTAAGACGAAAGGACCTAAATTACTAAATTCGGGAATGACAAAGAGCATATTACTACCAAGCTGATGGAAATGGAAAAGATTATTATGGAATACTATGGAAAATTATAATAAATTAGATAACCTAAATGAAATGGACAAATTCCTATCAAGATACAAACTGCCAAAACTTATTTGAAACAGAAAATCCGACTAGATCTGTAACAAGAGATTGAATCAATAATTTAAAAACATCCGACAAAGAAAACCACAAGGCTTCGTTGGTAATTTCTACCAAATGTTTAAAGAAAAATTAATACCAATTCTTCTGATACTCTTCCAAAAAACAGAAGAGTATGGAAGACTTCCTAACTCATTCCACGAGGCCGACAGTACCTTAATACTAAAACCAGACGTATCCACCACAAGGTAACTACAGACTTATAACCCTTTTAATATAAATGCATAATCTTCAACAAAATACTAGGAAATCATATTCAGCAGCATATTAAGGTTATAGAACATGACCAAGTGGAATTTATTCCAGGAATGCAAGGGTAGTTCAATATAAGAAAATTCAATCACTGTAATATCCAATATTAATAGAACGAAGGAAGAAATAAAGCATGATCATTTCAACAGATGTATAAAAATCTTTTGACATCATTTCATAATCAAAACACTCAACTGGACCACTTTCTTACATCACATACAAGAATAGACTCAAAATGTATTAAAGACTTAAATGTAAGATCCGGAACCATAAAACTTCTAGAAGAAAACATAGGCAGTAAACTCTCTAATATTGCTAATAGTAATTTCTTTTCAGACATATCTCTTCAGGCAAGGGAAACCAGAAATAAACAAATGGGACTACATCAAGCTAAAAAGTTTTTGCACAGCAAAAAGAAACCATCAACGAAACAAAAAGCCTACTGAATGTGAGGAGCTATTCGCTTATGATACATCTGATGAGAGGTTAATATACAAAATTTATAAAGAATTCACACGACGACAACAACAACAAAAACAATCCAATTAAAAAATGGGCAGAAGACCTAAATAGATATTTCTCCAAAAATGAAATACAGATGGCCAATAGACACATGAAAAATGCTCAAAGCTACTAATTATCAAAGAAATGCAAATTAAAACCACAATGAGCTGTCACTTCACACCTGTCAGAATGGCCATCATCAATAAATCAAAAACCGTGTGTGTTGGGGAGGATGTGGAGAAAGGAAACACTCGTGCACTATTAGTTGCATTGTAAATTGGTGCAGCCACTATAGAAAACAGTGTGGAGATTCCTCGAAAAATTAAAAATAGAACCACCACATGGCCCAGCAATTCCATTTCTGAGTATTTATCCAAAGAAACCCAAAACATTAATTTGAAAAGACATATGCACCCTATGTACAATAGGTCTATGATCCACTTTGAGTTGATTTTTGTAATAAGGTGTGAAATGAGGGTTGGAATTCATGTTACAGCTTAGGGTTATCAACTGTTTGGCATATGGCTATCCAACTGTTGCAACTTAATTTATTGAAAAGACTATACTTTCTACACTGCATTATCACAATGGTTGCACATACACTGTTGGTGGGATTGCAAATCGGTGCAGCCACTATGGAAAACAGTCTGGAGGTTTCTCAAAAAATTTAAAATGGATATACGTTTTGACCCAGCAATTCCACTTCTGGGTATTTAACCAAAGAAAACCAAAGCAATCATTCATAAAAGTCTATGCACCCCAATGTTCATGGCAGCACAATTTACAACAGCCAAGCTATGGAAGCAACCTAAATGCCCATCAACAAACGATTGGATAAAGAAGTTATGCTTCATATATACAATGCAATATTACTCAGCCATTAAAAAATGAAATCTTACCATTTGCAATGACATGGATGGAACTAGAGGTTATTATGCTGAGTGAAATAAGACGGAGAAAGATAAATACCATACGATTTCACTTATATGCAGAATCTAAGGAACAAAAAGAACAAACTCATCAAAAACAGACTCACAAATATAGAGGACAATCTAGCGATGACCAAAGGTGGAGGGTTGGGGAGCTGGGAGAATGGGGTGAAGGGTTAAAGAAGAGTTAAAGAAGTACAAATAGAAGTACAAATAAAGAAGTTGTTCACAGATGGTCAGGGGAATGGGGAGCACAGCATAGGGAATGCAGTTAGCAGTAATGTAATGGCTAGATGGAGAGCCAGAGGAGAGAAAGAGCAATCAGGGGCATCGTTTTATAAGCTATATAAATGTCTTACCAATGCACTGTATACTTGAAACTAATAATAAAATAAAATGCTAAAAAATAAAATTTAAAGAAAGAATGAAGTTGGACCCCTATCTCACGCCATATACTAAAATTACCCCAAGATGGATCAAAGACCTAAATGTAAGAACTAAAACCATAAAACTCTCAGAAAAAATCAAAGGGGAAAGTCTTCATGACCTTTGATTTGGCAACATATTTTTAGAGATGGCACCAAAAGCATGAGCAATGGAAGAAAAAAGATAAACTCCATCAAAATTAAAAACCTCTGTGCATCTATGTACATTTTCAAGAAACTGAAAGGAACCTACAAAATGAGATAAAATATTTGTAAATCATATCTGATAAAAGTTGAGCATCCCCGATGTATAAAGATATCTTAAGTCATCAGAAAAATGCAAATTAAAACTACAGTGGGGTTCCATTTCTCACCACTAGGATGGCTACAATTAAAAAATCCAAAAACATAAAACCAGAAACAAAACTTTCAGAAGAAAACACAGGAAAAAACTTTCTTGACATTAGACTTGGCAATGATTTCTTGGAAATGATACCAAAGCATAGGCAAAAAAGCAAGAATAGACAAGTGGGACTATATCGTACTAACAATCTTCTGGACAGCAAAGGAAACAATCCACACAATGACAAGACAACTCACAAAATGAGAGAAAATATTTGCAAATCATGTACCTGATAGGGGGTCAATATCCAAAATATGTAAGGAAATCCTACAACTCAACAGGATCTATGAAAAACAGTATGGAGGATCCTCAAAAAGTGAAAAATAGTACTATCATTTGATCCGGCAATCCCACATCTGGGTACACACCCAAAAGAAATGAAATCAGGATCTCGAAGAGCTATCTGCACTTATATGTTCATTGCAGCATTAGTCTCAACAGCCACGATATAGAAACCCAAGTGTCCATCGATGGATAAGTGGATAATGAAATGTGGTAATACATACAATGGAATATCATTCAGCCTTATAAAAAAGAGGAAATCCTGCCATTTGCAACAACATGGATGGACCTGGAA